AACCTTTCCTTAACTTTTACAATCTACATTATTCTTTAGTGTTGCATCATATTCCATTGTGTGTATGTACCATAGCTCAAAAACTCACTGCAGTCAAGTTGGATCTGACTCATAGCAACCCCTCCTTGGGTTTCCAAGATGGTAACACTACAAAAGTAGATTGCCCAATCTTCCTTCTGAGGAGTGGCTAGTGGGTTGGAACTGCCAGCCTTCTGGTTAGCAGTCAAATGCCTTAGGGTACCATAGTTTGTTAATAATTAGTTCTTTACAGTGTGTAAACGCTATGAACCTGGTTGTGGTATCTGTCTGGTTTTGGTGTCAGAGTTCTGTTTGCTTAATAAAACAACTTAGGGAATATTCCTTCTCTATCTTTTGAAAGACGTTTGGAAAATGAAACAAAAATTCTCACAACTAGACCAATAAGATTGGAAGAAAGATTGAATGATCCAGAGATTTCACTTTACTTGGATCTACAATCAATACCCATGGAAGCAGCAAAAAATCAGACATAGTATTGCAGTGGGTGAATCTGCTGCAAAGGACCTCTTTAAAATGTAAGGAGCAAAGGTGTCACTTTGAAGATTAATGTGCCCCTGACCCAAGCCATGGTATTTTCTATCACCTCATGCGTGTGAAAACTAGACAATAAGGAAGACCAAAGAAGAGTTGAAGCCTTTGAATTAAGGTGTTGGCGAAGAATACTGAAAATACCATGGACTGCCAGAAGAACTAACAAACCTGTCCTGGAAGAAGTACAACCTGTATGCTCTTTGGAAATGAGAATGGCCTGATTTTGTCTCACCTACTTTGATCATGTTGTCAGAAGGGACCACTCCCTGGCGAAGGACATCATGCTTGGTAGAGGGTCAGTAAAAAAAGGGAAGACCTTCAAAGAGATACACTGGCACTGTGGCTGTGATGATGGGCTTAAGTATAGTAAGGATAGTGAGGCTGGCACAGGACAGGGCAGTGTTTCATTCTGTTGTACAAAGGGTCGCTATGAGTCAGAGCCAACTCGACAGCCTAACACCAAACAACAAATAGTATTGGTGTCAGTTCTCTACATGTTTGGTAATATTCCCCAGTGATGCAATCTGGTTCAGGACTGTTGTCGGGAGGTTTTTTATCACAGATTCAAACTCTTCACTTGCTATGGGACTGTTGAGACTTTCGAACTCTTTTTGAGTCAGTTTGGGTAGGTTGTTTGCTTCTAAGAATTTGTCTATTTCATTTAAGTTACCCAGGTTCTTGCCATACAGGTGTTCATAATATTCTGTCATAATGCTCTTTATTTCTATTAGGTCTGTAGAATTGGTGTATGTTTTGCTGTGTATACTCTCAACAACAAAAATATTAAAAAAAAAAAAAAAAGCAAGGGGTTGGGCGAGGGGCTGACCAGGCCTTGTGGGCTGCACTGAGGACTTGGCTTTTACTTCTCCCTCCCAGCAGGGGAACCTTGGAAGGGTTCTGAGCAGGGGAGCATGAGCTGACTTGAGCGTTAACAGGCGCCCTCTGGCGGCTGGGGATGGGAAGGACAGATTGTGGCGAAGGAACAAAGAGAATGGGGGACCAGGGAGCAAGCGACTGCCAGGGCTCACCACTCAGGATAAGCTGAGGAGGGACGTGATTGCCCACTCCCATTTCAGCACCCCAGGGGTGCATACACACAGCCAAAGAAGCACATACACAGTGGCTAGACTCCTCTTTAATGACATCCTAACACTGGGAGGAATGGGCAGTGGGGCTAATGGGCTCAGCAGCTGCATTGGAGGAGGGGCCCCAACACCCCCTAAGGCAGGTCACTGCAAGAAGGCACTCACGAGGGAACTTCAAGCCCTTCCCTTATTTCTTCATATAAAATCAGAGGAAGCCCCAAGGGTGAGGGAGGCAGGGAGACCATCCCTTCCAACCTGTGGGTAGGAAAAGGCAAGCAGGGGGCCCGATGCTGGGAACTGGCAGGTCAGGGGCCTGCCTCATCTCCCGAGAACCTACAGCTGGGGCCTGGGGAGATGGAGGCCCCGCACTCTCTGACATCCACGCCCTCGTCTCTTCTGCCTTCTAACTGGTACGAAGCTGATAATCTGCAGTAAAACAATAGGCAGGCACAAAGCACCAAATCCATCACCTGCCCCGTGCTCATGATCAGCCCCAGGAGTAAGTAACAAGGCTGAGGACGGGGTTCACACGGGGCAGTAAACTTATCAACAGGCCGCTTTCTGGCAGCAGATGGGGGTGCTGCATGTCCCTCTTCCAAATCCCAAGGCCACCCTAGAGCTGACTACCTCCATTTTAAAGATAGATGCAAACAAAAGACATTAACCATGAGTACCATGCTCCATTAAAAAACCATCAGGATGAGACCAAAAGGTCAACAATTACTCTCAAGCAAAGATAAGATAAGCGGGCAGGGAAACTAGAGCGTTGGAAGCAGAACCACCAGAATGCAATTCAAGAGCATGTTCACACATTGTGAAAAACGTATCTCATGTCACTGAGCAATGTGTAGAAATTGTTCAATGGGACCTAAAAACAAAATAAAGATAGGGAAACCAAGACCCGGGGTGACACAGTGACAAAGAGGCTGGCCTGGGCCCATGCTTGTTGAGTTTTGGAACCAGAATGTCGTCAAAACCCTGAGACCCCATCTCCCTCATCTCCCTGACCCTGTCCCAGGGAGCAGGCTGCCTTACCGCCACTCTGAGTGATATAGCGAACCCAGGGCAAGGCCTGATAGCCACTTTTCTCAATGATCTTCATGTATCGGACCTGGAATGGAATGAAAAGAGAGGTAGCCCTGGCTGGGGACATGAGGTGACCTGGGCCAGATAAAGGTATCTGATATCAGGGAGACAGCTCAGGGGGCAGGAATGCATAGGAAAGAAGGACACAGGGAAGAGGTAACTACAGGGAGGAAGTGGGAAGAGAGCTGTTACATTGTTGGGAATTGCAATCAATGTCATGAAACAAAATGTATATGAACTGCTGTATGGAAAATGAATTTGCTCTGTAAACTTTCACCCAAATCACAATAAAAATTTAAATATATATATATGTGATACATCTTGGAGGGGGAGTAAGATGGCACAGGCTTAGAGTAACGAGGTGACATACCTTGGGGGGAAAGGCAGCATAGGTGGGGGAGGTGGGTCTGGATAAAGAGGTGGCACAGGTCAGGGCAGTGGGGGGGTGGCTTGCAGGCAGTGGGGGGAAAGAAGTGAACAGGCTAAGTGGGCAGGAGGCAGCACAGGCCAGTGTGGGAGGCAGGGGAAGGGACCCAGGCTGAGCGCAGAAGAGGCACCACTGCCCAAGGGAGGGCAAGGGAGAGCGCAGAGCAGACGTGATGCAGCCAGGGGACACGGAGGAGACCCAGGGCGCGGGGAAGGAAAGAGCGGAGCCTGCTAGGGTCGAGGAGGGGAGCCTCCCTGCGCCCTTCCCTCACCTGGATCCCGGAGACGGTGAAATAGGGAATCTCAAACTTGACCCCGATGGGAGGCCGGCCCTCCACCTCCTCCTTCTCCACGCTGGGGAGGCCAAAGTGGGCACGCATCAGGTACTCCTTGCCCCCCTGAAGGCACATGGGGGCATTAGATACAGCAGGCACCCGCATGCCCCAGACCATCCTCACGGCAACCCCCAGAGCGGGTTCTGCTCTCGGCCCGTTTTACAGACAAGGAGCTAACGGCTCCTGCCCGAGGCTCATAGCCCAAGCTTCTAACTCCAAAGCCCACTGGGGGTCTTCTAATCACCATCTCCCATGTCTCAGATCCCAGGGACGAGGGCACGGAGGCTGCATGGGGGAAATTGGTTTCCTGAGACCACTCAGCTCGAAAGTCAGGGGTCAGGGTGTGAATCCAGGGAGGGGGATGCCTAACCACCATGTGGCCTGATTTTCACCTTCAGCATCCTCCAAGGATGACCATGTGTGTATGGGTCTCTAGTTCCCTGCCTTGTGCCCACGTGGTCAGGGCAGGTCAGGCCTCCACACGGTCCCGGCACCCCCAGACTCCCCATCCGCCCTCCCCACTGCTCACCGGGAAGGACTTGATACTCCAGATGACAACATTCCTCTCTGGCATGTACTTGGCACTGCCCACACTGGTCTTAAAGCGGGGCGAGTCAGCATCGCTGGGGACGGGTACAGAGATCTCCACGCTGTTGGCAACAGACTGCTTCTTAAACTGCCCCTTAGCCTGTTGAGGGAGAGCGTGGGGCACCAAGAAGTCACGCATGCATTCTGCAGATATCCACCAAGCCCCGCAAGGCGTCGTCTCACTGAGGGCCTCTGTAATCCCGAGGTGGGGACCACTGTCCTGCCCGTTCACAGATGACGACACTCCAGCCCTGAGATGCTAAGCGTTTGCCTGAAGACACTGCCCAAGAGTGGCAGGGCCAGGCTGCTCCCTCGGGGGCTCCGGAGGCCCTGCTCTTTGTGCCTTCTGTTTGGGCAGCGCCAACCACCTCTGCCCCAGGTTCACAACCATGCCCACCCCATGGCAGCAGGAGTTTTCATCTGATGGTTGGCAGTTACCAAGCCCCTCCCATGTGCTGGGCCTGGTGCCCAGCACTTAGCCCCTCATCAACCCTCTAAAATCAGAACCATTCCGAGATGAAGTTGCTTTGTAAACTTCCACCTAAATAATAATAATAATAATGATAATAAATAAAATAAAGTCAGAACCATTCCGAAGGTCCATTTCACAGATGAAGAAACAGAGGCACAGAGAGAACTTTGCTCGAGTCACACAGTGGGTAACTGGCACAGGAGAGATTCGAACGGAGCCTTCAGTTTAACCATCACATGCTCTCCTTACAAATGAATGACTGACTGAATTACAACATTCTGTTTACAGCCAGGGCTGGTGAGACGGGACAAGTTTTTAGCACAGGGTGTCAAATGTTCCATGGTCATTCTTTCTTGAACACCACCCTTATCTATTAATTCAGGGAGGGGTGTTTGGGGAGGCAGGATCGGGGCAGAGACCCAGAGGTAAAGCTGGGGAGCTTCTTTTTGGAAGCCGTGGCTTTCAGGGCTCCATCCCTTTTGCCTGCAGAAGAACAGAGGCAGGAACACTAAGGGGCACTGAGAGTCTCCCTGGTGACCACACACCCCACAGCACAGTTCTGCCAGGGCCCTGAGACAGGGGAACAAAGTCAAGTCTAAGAACACAGGTTCTGGGGCAAGGTAATCACAATTCAATTCAAAGCAGGGCTCCCCTCCTCCAAGCTGAGGACCTCTTAATGCCTCTGGACCTCAGTTTCCTCATCTGTAAAAAAGGGCTGACTATAAGCTCCTGCTTTGGGCACCAGGAGACATGCACAGGGCTATTCACAACAGTAGCCAAGAGCTGAAAAGGACCCACACAGGAGAATAGTAAATTCCCACTGTGGAATATTATATAGCTGTTAAAATGGATGGCCTAGAAATCACTCAAAATCAATGATGTGTGTAAAAGGCAGGTCCAACAAAAAACTGTACAGTGTGACTCCATTCACACAAAGGTCAGACACAGGCAGAGTGAAATATTTATGGGGCAAATGTGGATGGCAAAATTATCAAGAAAAGCAAAGAAGTAATTCACATCAAATTTGAGATTCTAGTTTTCCCCCCACTGGATGGGGTGGGAGGAGCAGTAATTGGGGGAGATGCACAGGGGTTCAGAGGCTCTGGTCAAGCACATTCATATCACTGGATGGTTTATCACTATCCTTTAAACCACATAAAAAAACTACACATTTTTTTTTTTTTTTGCAAATCATTTGACATGAAAGTCAAATAATTAAAATAGATCATATGTCAGATGGTGATAAAAGTATGATGGAAAATGGAACAAAGGAAGAAGGTGAGGAGTTCTAGGGGATTACAATTTTAAATAGGGGGATCAGGCAAGGGGTCTCTGAGGAAGTGACACTTAAGTGCAAAGAACTGAAGGAGATGGGGGAGGGAACCATATGGTTACTGGGAGCAGGGTTGTCCAGGGAGAGGGAACAGCCAGTGAGAAGGCCCTACAGCAGGCCCTTGCTTGGTGCTCTCCAGGAACGTGGAGAAGATGGGTGTGCTGTGATGGGGTAAGCAAGAGGAGAGGAGGTGAGGGTGGGCAGGTGACAGGCAGGCCGCGCGGGGCCTTGCAGCCACAGTGAGGACTGGGGCTTTTGCTCTGACTGAGGTGGGAGCCATGGAGGGTCCTGAGCAGAGGGACTGGACCGGACTCAGGTGCTCACAGGAGCCCTCTGTGGGGGAAACGGATTGTGGAGTACGGGATGGGAGCCAGGAAGTAACTGCACTGGTCCAGATGAGTTAAGGTAGAAGTTGGCCCAGGGTGGAGGCAGAGCAGGGAGTGAAAAATTGATCCCAGTGACAGAGCCAATATTTGCTGACAGCTTCTCCAACCGGCCGGCAAGCTCCCTGAGAGCAGCAACCCTGTCTTTTGTCTTCTTCCCTCCTTGCCCCTTAGTTTCCTGGACACAACTGTGCTCGGGTAAATCATGACATGAATCAAACCTAACCTGTTGCCGTCAAATCCGCCCCATGTGTGTCTGAGCAGAACTGAGCTCCAGGAGGTTTTCAGAGGCTGCTCTTTCAGAAGGAGATTCCCAGGCCTCTCTCCCAAGGTGCCTCTGGGTGGACTCGAACCCCCAGCCTTCTGGTTGGCAACAGAGTACATGAACCATTTGCATCACCCAGGGACTATGATATGAACACTTGCTGCTGTCAAGTTGGTTCTGACACACAGTGACCCTATAGGACAGAGTAGAACTGTCCCATAAGGTTTATAAAACAGTAATATTTACAGAAGCAGACTGCCACATCTTTCTCCCATGGAGCGGCTGGTGAGTTCAAATCACCAACCTTTCATTTAGCAGCTAGCACTTTACCATTGTGCCACCAGGGCTCCTTATAATATGAAAAGCTAATACTTATTCCGTGATGCAGACATCACTGAGAACAAACACACTGTGTGCCTGAGGCTGGGGAAAAGGCACTGTCTGAAGGGAAGCAGATACAATGGCCTGTTGAACAGACCTAAAGAAGTTGAGGGAGGGAAGATGGGAGCCATGGACAAAGCTGGAGGAAGAGCAGTCAAGGCAGAGGGAATAGCAGAAGCCAAGGCCCTGAAGGGGACCGTGCCTGTTATGTTTGAGAACCAGCCAAGAGCCCAGTGTGTCTGGAGGGAAGAAGTCTAGGTGCAGGGGGAGTGGGAGGAGGTCACACAGGTGTAGGATAGGAGGGGGCAGGTCATGCACTGGCAACCATCATTATCCTGGCCCACCTTGACCATGATCTCCACGCGGCTGTGGGAGAACTTCTCAATGACAGACTCGATCCAGATCAGTGGCTTGACCTGTGGACAGAGGCAGGGGGGTTCTCAGGGGCTGCTTATCAATTGCCTCCTGCCTTGGGCCTTGAGGCAGCCTCACCTGAGTGCTGAGGCGGTAGGACATGAGCTCGAAGTCACCATCAGGCGGGATGAAGGAGATGGTGCGGTCGCTGTCGAAGCGTGAGAGCCGCACACACTGGTGGAACTTCACATCTTCTAGCTCCACAGACTTGTTCTTGCTGCCTGAAACTCGGAGTGCAGCACACGGGGTCACACCCTGGGGGCAGGGACCAGGACTGGGTCTCTACTCACTCAGCCGGCCAGCCAACAAGCATTCATCAAGCACCTACTGTAAGCCTGTGCTGGGAAATCAATGGTGAATAAAGCAGACGGTGGCCTTTTCTCTGCCACCCACCACTGCCACTCTACAAATAAGGAAACGGAGGCCCAGAGAAGGCCCCCCCCCCCAGGGAGTCTCACTGTTGCAGTTAGGCTTTTAAATATGAAGCTATATTATTCCATCCTCTCCCTAGAACGTCAGTTCTAGGAGGGCAAGGATTTGTTAGCTTTCTTCACTGCTGTGTCCCCAGAGCCTAGAGCTAGGCCTGGCACAAAGCAGGAGCTAAATAAATGTTTGCTGAATAAGTGAAGAGACAGTGGTTGCCCAGTGAATCAGCAGCTGCAGTATTAGCCATGACCAGCAGAGGGCGCACAAGTGCTTATTTCAGAACAAGCTGCAATTTCCCCTGAGGCTCCAAGAGGAATGGGCTCTCAGACTCCTCCATTAGTCGAGAGTGGTGAGGGGGCCCACATACTTACGGCCAGTGAGCTCAAAGAGCACGCGGTCATTGAGGCCTAGCCGCAGCTCCGGCATTCCTGACAGAAACACCTTGAGCTTGATGGTGCCCACAATCTCGCTCAGTAGGACGCTACCATTGGCGTTGACCTGGGGATGTAAACCTAGGGAGGTTAACAGGTGTTGGGCCCTCTCCCCTACCCCAGGCCCCGGCGAAGGTGGGGACTCACCAGCAGATTGACAGACTCTATGACATCAATGAAGACTTCATTTTTCTTATATTTGATGCCCTCAGAGCGCCAGGACACTGCATTGGTGACGGTGGGTGGCACTCGAGACTTGCCTGTCTCCAGCTTGTTACCCTGCTGGGTGATGTACCTGGCGGGAGGGCAGCAGGGACAAGCAGCTGGACCCAAGGACATCTCCCTGGCCCTCCCTGACTTCCCTCTGCCGGTGGTCCAGTGGCTGCCCCCATGACCCACTCACTCCTGCAGGATCTTGCTGTCAGTGGTCTGTGGGAAGCCAAAGTCCATGAGCTCATCCAATAGCTCATAGACAATGACAAAGTTGTCTCGAATACTCTCCTCCTCCAGCTCCTTGAAGTATTCTGAGAATACCTACAGCAGGGGAGGGGAGAGACAGACACTCATAGAGGTGTGACTGGTACAGCTATGGCCATGGGCTGGGTGTCCTCCACTCTTTCAATCAGCCAAGAAGCATTTATTGAGCACCTACTATATGCCTATGCAGGGAAATTAATGGTGAATAAGGTAGACAGGGGTCCTGCCCTCATGGAACAGTCTAGTAGGGGAGAATGAATGGGTATTAGGATCAATATAATGCACTATGTAGGGTGCAGTGAGGGGGAAACAGGCAGCTGTGGGAGCTCAGAGGTGAGAAAACCAGGGCCCACTTCCTGAAAGAGGGATTAGAAGGGCTTGGAACCATTTTTTTGTGGGCCAAGGACCCCTATGTATTTGGTGATGTCTGTGCTGCACTGAGCAAATAATCCAAGAACCTGCACTATGTGAAGAATGCGACATCAGGATTGGAGGAAGACTCATTAACAACCTGCGACATGCAGACAATACAACTTTACTTTCTGAAAATGAAGATGACTTGAAGCACTTACTGATGAAGACCAAAGACTACAGTCTTCAGCATTGACCAATAAACAACATCACGATAAATGGAGAAAAGATGGAAGGTGTTAAAGATTTCATTTTACTTGGATCCACCATCAATGCCCACGAAAGCAGCAGTCAATAAATCAGATGGCGTATTGCACTGGGAAAATGTGCTGCAAAAGACCTCTCTAAAGTGTTAAAGAGCAAAGATGTCACTTTGAAGACTAAGGTGCACCTGATCCCAGCCATTGTCTTTTGAATAGTTTCATATGCATGTGAAATCTGGACAAGGAATCAGAAAGACCAAAGAAAAAATTGATGCCTTTGAACTGTGGTGGTAGTGAAGAATATTGAATGAACCATGGGCTGCTGCAAGAATGAACGAGTCTGTCTTGGCAGAAGTACAGCCGGAATGTTCCTTAAAAGAAGAGCTAGACTTCATCTCACCTCTTTTGGTCATGTTGTCAGAAGGGACCAGTCCCTGGAGAAGGATATCATGCTTGGTAAACTAGAGGGTCAGCAAAAACAGGAGAAGACCCTCAACAAGATGGACTGAAACTGGCTACAATACTGGGCTCAAACATGGCGGGGATTCTGAGGATGATGCAGGACCAGTCGATGTTTTGTTCTATTGTATATAGGGTCATTACGCATTGAAATCAACTCAGTGTCACCTAACAAACAACAGCGGACTCAACGCAGAATAAAGTTGTTGTTGTTGTTGTTGTGCCATTGAGTGGGTCCCGACTCATAACGACCCCTCCTTGGGTTTCCAAGGCAGTATCACTACAGAAATAGATTGCCCAACCTTCCTTCCGAAGAGTGGCTGATGGGTTTGAACCGCCCACCTTCTGGTTAGCAGTCAAGTGCCTTAGCCACTATGCTACCAGAGCTCCTTGAATAACGTTAGTAAGGGCATAAAATACAATACACGGCAAAGGAAACCTGGTATATAGAAACACATCCACGTTCATAGACTTCTAGAATACTACCCAAAGGCCCTTGGGGACCTAGGAATCTGGATTAAGGACCCCTAGGAAAATGGTACAGCCAGTGTGGGAGACAATTTGGTTGCTCCTTAAAAAGTTAAATATGGAATTATCCTATGACCCAGCAATCCCAGTCCTGGGTATATACCTAACACAGGTCAAAGCAGGAACACAAACAGGAACCTGCCCACCAGTGCGCACTGCAGCACTACTCACAATAGCCAAAAGGTGGAAATGACCAAAGTGCCTGTCAGCAGATGAATGGCTACACAGTGTGGTCCATACATGCACTGCACAGTACTCAGCCATAAAGAAAAGAGAAGTCCTGGCATGGCGTGTGCCACACTCGTGGAACCTTGAAAACATGCC